TCAGTTTGTTCATTGAAGTTTACTTAGTAAGACTGTGAAGTACATTATTATTATGCATTGTTTTTAAAGTGGACTTGAGATTTTGTAGTGAGAGGGAGCTCCCAGGGAGTAGCCTCCTCTGCCAGTCCAGTTCTTGTGCTGGGCACTGAGTGGTCACATGAGGTGTCAGGGACAAGACTGGGGCCCATGGAGGCCAGCTGTGCCCACCCCGCCTCTCTGCCTCTATACATTACTCTGGTGTATCATCATTCTAATAGCTTATCCTTAACAAACAGTTTATCTTTTGGCTCTCACAACAACCCTTAAGCTAAGCAGAGCAGTATTACTACCATTAAGTAAAAGTTATACAGTGCCCCGAACATAGTAAGTGCTTAATCATTGCTTACTCATTCATTCCATTCAGTAGTTGGAGTAAAGGATGTTATCAGTAAACTGTATGATTGGTAAAGAAGTTGGATTGGACAGGTGGCTGCATTGGTCAGCCAGACATCCCTTGTGCTCCAGGGAGCCTCATGCTGTCATGAGAAGGAAGGTGTAAATGCCCAGGCATGCTGGGGGGGCCGTGTGTGGAATGCACAAGCCCACATGGCTTCTGATTTGCATCTACATCAATGAGAGGACATGCCCATTATTTTAGCCTTCCAAGATCTGTGTGGATCAGGACTCTGTTGTCCCATTAACTGTCCTGCTCAGCTCTGTTTGGGTGGTAATTTGACTTACTGTAGAGTATCCAGGGGTGACACTTTGGAAGGTGAAGAACTCTGAGTTCACAGTGAAGATCAAAGGCTCTGAGAGTGTTTAACCCAGAAAGGTACCTGTCATGTGGAGGGGCATTCGATTTGTGTCGGGGACCCAGAGAGAAGAACAGCAGTGGGTGAAAGTGGCAAAGAGGGCAATTTAGGCTTGAGGAACTTGCAGACAGTTCTACTTGTCCCGAGATGGAAAGGATTGTCTCTGGGTAGTGGGCACATTATAATGGGTGTTCCTTGTGGGTATGGCTTAGACTAGGAGACCGCCGAGGGCTCTTCCAACTCTAAAATTCTGTGACAAAATGCCATCTCTGCACTCATGCAAGTTATTGATGGTACAGAGCATAGCACCAGAGAGCAGATGGTCTCAACTTCATCGTTTTCAGTTTGGCGCACCATCATTTAAGACAGACGTTGGTAAACTGGCACAGGCAGAGGATGGCCAAGGCGATGAAGGGCGCTTGAATCTACACGACCCGGGGATTGGTCGAGAGAAAGAAGTAGGCACGTGCTGAAGAGAAGGCTCAGCAGGAACATGGTGGAGGCATCTGGTGTTTGAAGGGCTGGGGTGTCAGACGAGCTGGATTGTCCTCAGTGGAAGTTGTAATCAGGGACCGAGCTGACACGGGGCCTGTCCAGAAGGGGTAGTTCAGGATGGTCTTCATGCAGAGGCTGGCTGACTACCTGCGGGCTGTGGATTACAGGGGCTTTCTTTGTGTGGGGGCTGGACTCTGACTGTTGAGGTCCTGTCCAGTTCTCACATTTTGTGATTCTATTCATCGACTCTAAAACCTTCCCTTCAAATCAACACTGACTCGTTCAGGGCAGACGTCCACTGCCCGCATTGTCCCCAGCAGGGACTCCCTGTTTCTTATGGCCTCTTCCTGCTGGAGCTGAGGCCAGCGCGGCATGGTCTGTCTCGGCTGACACTTAGCCAAGAGCTCGTGTTCACAAACCAGCCTTTGAACGGTGAGTTTGCCATCAAGTAAAGCTAAGCTCAGTGCCCTGGATGGTTTGTAGGCCCTGACTTTTACAAATCCTGTCTGTTCACCGTGTCCTGGCCCTGTGCAGCCTCTCCTGTTTTCCAGTCTTTCAGCGAGAGTCAGTCTGCCAGTGTCGGGGAATGCTGTTTGCTCCTGTGGGGGCGGGAGGCCAGGGTCCTCTCCTCTCAGCGCCTCCCTTTTCTTGGGTCAGCCGTCTTTGTTCTGTCCTTCCTAGTTCAGCGATCCTCCTGAGCAGAGACAGAAGCAGGGCAACAGCGGGTGCTGCTGCCTGTCCTCCATCATCTGGGCAGCAGCTCCATCTCTCCCTTCATTTTCCTCTTGCCTCCAGCACAGCTTAAGGCCACCACCTGGCCTCCCCGTCATAACCTCCTTCTTGAACACTTCTTCAGGGGGTTCGATTGAGCTAGGGAGCTGGGGGGGGGGTTTCCTGGTTTTCACCATCAGCCGAAGCTAAAGCAGAGCAGCTGTTACACTTCCTTCCCCCAGTTTTCTAGACTTGCTCCATTCCACTGAGCAGAAAAGGGAATCTCTACAACAGATTCTTGTGTGTGCCTGCTGACTGAGCTGTGGGGGTGTCCAACATGGTTTGTGACCCAGGTATCCACTTAAGTTGGAAGACTCATTCAAAGGAAAATGCCTCCATTTTTCAAGCCTCTTTAAATGGTCTTCAGCTGCTAACCCCAGTCTGTTGGCTTCTCCCTTCTCCCTAAAGCTGGCAGCCTGTAAAGGTGCATTTCAGTCTCTGCTCTGCCATGAATACCCTTCAGTCTCCCCTCATTTCGAAATTCTTCCGTCAGTCACTCTGCTGTGGTTGGTGGCAATGCCCCTGCAGCCCTGGGCTGGCAGGATGAGGCCCAGGAGGAGGTCGTGTGCACTTCCCTGGCCTTATCCAGGGAGGCTCTGAGGTACGGATTGATTATCCAGAAAATATCTGCTTCACCTGGAGCAGGGTTGCGCACTGGGAGGTTTACTTCTTTCTCTGAGGCCATTGACGTGGGCTGTTTTCTTTGAAGTTGGAGCAAGAGGGCACACACTGTCTTTCTGTTCTTTTGCTTCACTGCCCTCTTGCTGGGGGTGAAGAAGCTCGATGTCGCCCTGTTGGTGCTTCTCCTATCCCTCCCTCTCCACATGCTGCCCCTGCCCAGGGATCTGAGATTGGGAACAAGAAGGCCGCATTTGGTGGGCTGTTTGCAGTTCAGTTTGGTGTCTGAGAAGGGTAGTTTGAATAGTTGGCATTTCATGCATCAGTTATACTTAATCTTTAGTGTTATCAAGCCAGTAATAAATGACTCAGGGTTGGTTTAAATTATGTTTCCTGTGCTTGCTGAAAATTAGCTTGGCGCCCTGTGTGGGTGGGAGCAGCATTTCTAAAGGCAGCGTGACCTGATTTAAAAGATGTCAGTCCTTCTGAAAACTGCTTTATGCCCCTCTGGAAACTGGAGAAACTCCAAAAGACGTAAGATCTTAGGTTCGAACACCTCAATGATCCTGTTCTCCAATCCTGCGATTTTATTTATCTTAACTTTTTTCAATTAATAAGCATCTTGTTTTCTTCCCAGCTCTTCCTCCCCGCCCCCCCGGCCCGGGAAAAAAAGAAAAACAAAGCCCTTACCACAAATATGCCCAGTCAAGCAAAACAAATTCCTTTGTTGGCCCAGTCCATTTTCCATTCTGAGTCACAAGCTCATCCTCTCCCATCAGGAGCTGTGGGCTCAGTCAAGTAAGACCCACGGGACTCAGACCCGGGTGTTCTGATGCTCTTTCCATTGCACTGTACTGGCTCCACTGCCCAAGAGTGAACTCCAGAGAAGAGTGACGAGCTGAAGGTTACACCGTACAGACAGGCCCCGGGGGACTGTGAGGGCCGTATTCCAGGAAGGACGTGGAAGGTCATCCTACAGAAAATGCCTTTGATCGAGAAAGGAGAAGGAGAAACCGTGGATGGAAGAGCCCAGGTGTGAGTCTGAGATGCAGAGACGCTCCTAATCCGAGTCTTGGGTGGTGATGGGCGGCCTCCCCTTCAATCAGGGGCTACAGAACCATTTGTCAAGAGCCTCCAGGGAAGAGGCCTATTTAGGGATGGTCTCCGAGGTCCCTTCTAATTCTAGGACTCTTGATTAAATTAGTCTGAAAATCTGAATTCTGCCCTGAATGGATGCTGGATTCTGTATTCTAGGCATTGGAGTGTCCAGAGTTGGGACAAAGCAGCTCGGTGTTCACTTCTCTGAGGGGGGAAGGGATGGAACAAGAGTGGGCAGCCCTTCCCTTTGGGAAGATGGTGGAAAAAAGAGGAGAAACCACCAGGAAAGAAGGGAGACAGGGTTCAGTCCCAGACTGTCGCATGTATGCTTTTGTCTCCTGAGCTTTGTTTTCTTCACTCCTTTTTCCTTCAGACTTATTACTTTCTATTTTGTAAAAAGTGTTCTATTTACCCCTGGCACATCTCCAATGATGAGGCTATGATGGATAGATAGAGCATCCTCCTACTTAATCAGAGCATCTGCAGAGCTCCAGAGGCTTCTGACAGGCTGGGACAGATGCTGAGGGATCCCCAAACTGGAGGGTGCAGGTTCTGGGGCATCATTTAATTAGGGCTTGCCGGTTGTAGGAGTAGCCTGTCGGGCTCTATCTGTTATGATGGCTTCTTACAGAATTGGGGGGGCATAGTGTTTCACAGCATTTTTGTGATAGTGCCCCCAGTGGATTTGCACTGTGTGCCCCCTGTACTCCACACTCCCAGCTCGCCGTCATTTGAAGATCTGACTATTCGAAGGCCCAGCTCAGTTCGGCCGTTACCTGCACGAGGCCTTGCCAGATGTCCACCATCCTCCTCCTCAGATAGGAAAGAGCCCTTTCTGTTACATCATGGCACTTGATCTGGATCTCTCCTACAGTCAGTCAGTCAGCAAACGTTGATTAAGGGCCTACTCTGCCGGGCCCTGTGCGCTCACACGCCCGATGAGGCTTCCTTTGCCTTCTTTCATGGTACATCATGCAGTCTTCAGTGGGGCCTGCTCTTTACTGTGTCCCAAGCTCCAGGCCTGGTGCCTTGCATGTAATATAGGTACCTTGTCAAGGTCACACTGCATTGGTGATGGTTCCTGCTTTCTGTAGCTTCTTGGTTTTGCCTGGTCATTGACGTGAACTTTTGAACTTGAACTTGTGCCCCTTTATTTTTTCCCCCAAGGTACTTGAGATGCCACTCTAGCACTGATATACTCACAGCATCATTCTGTCCTGTTGACAGGCTCTGACCATTCTCAAGAGCGTGTATCCAGTGACAGTGAAGAAGAGGAGGCAGTGGAAGAGGAGGAAGAAGAGGAGCGGCCCAGCTTTGTGGTGGGAAGATAATGAGGGTGGCTGACGTAGCGGTGGGCAGATGCGCGTGCCGTGAGCTTTATGATCCAGAGCCCAGGAAACCTGGAATGGCCCTGGGTACGTACAAAGGGCTGAGCATCACGTCCTCCTCAGGCCAAGAAGCTTGGTAGAGACACATCTAACAGGATCCCATTCTGTTGTGGCCTGGCTGTGCAGTCTGGCCAAGCACTGGACCAGTGTCTGTACTAAACCAAGTTGCTTCCAAACGTGGGGCATCCCCGGGATCTCAAGCAGGGTCCCCCCTCCCCCCCCCACCAAGGTAGCAATGTGGAGCGGTGTTCAATGACTTCCAGCTGTGGAGGAACATGTTCAGGCATCTTAACAATGATGGTGCTTGGAGGTCAGTTTCTCTTGTAGAAGTTTTCACTTGGTAAAGGGCAAACAGTCTGTGGGCTTTTGTTTGGACATAATAAAACAGATGAAGACAGAAGCAGTCTGTACTTGAAGTGATGTGTGCCCAGACCATGCCTAAAAAAGGCCAGTAAATGGACAGCTTTGAAAGCAGTGTGATAGAAGCAGTTAGGTGGCTGGTTTGACCAGCAGCTCTTTTAGCTGACAGAGATGGGGAAGATGACTTTCTAGCAAAGGAGCCCTATTTTCTCCTATACTACCTGTGCCCACCACTGTTCACCCAAGTTACTGGGGACTGACAAATTGCCAGGACAATTGTTTATCAGGGATTGATGAACATGCTAGATAGGAGATTTAGGTGTTAAAATGTTTTTTTTTATCTCAAGTATTTTTCATTTTAATTGGAAAGAAGCCCAGATATGATAGCCTTTAATAGTTCAAGTGTGAATTGTGAGTCCCTAATTGAGGATATGAAAATAGGGCACAGCTAAATGCTGGGTGGTGGGTGGGAGTGTGTGTGTGTGTGTGTGTAATCCAGGCAGGCTGACTTGGGGGATGGGGGATCCCAGGGTTGTTGGGCTCTGAAGGCTTTTTAGAAAATGGTTCCCATTGGAAAAAGAACACGGTTGATGGGGGTGAATAGATTCATCTGAAGATCTGGAGCAGTGTGATGGTGGCCTTTGAGAAAGCTCCACCCTGCCTAAGCAGGTGAGGACAGTTCCAGGGACCCAGCAGCTTCAGCCAGGACACAGGTGGGGCTTTTTTTTGAGGCTGGAGCCCAAAGAGCAAAGAACAAAGAACACAGAAAGGGGGCCCAGACTAGAAGGAGGGAGCAGCAGGAATGGAGAAAACTAGAGCTGGAAGGGTCGGGCCAAGGTCAGCTGGAGGCTCCATCTGGAAACCGCGTGAAGGAAACGTTCTTTTACTGGGCTGGGATGGGGGGGGGGGGAACAGCCTGTGGGAGAAAAGGGCAGAGTCACCTTCTCCTTCCTTGAGAGAGGAGGCACAGGCCTGTGTGCACAAGGGCCATCTGGTGGGATTTATGGGCGGGCCCGGGGAGGGGCAGTCACTTCGTCCCTGGGACTGCTTTGTTCTTTGCCCAAGAAACCAGAACAGAACTGACCACCGAAGTTGGCCAGGCCGTCCCCTGGCCAGCGTTCTGAAACTCGTTTTCCTCTCGTCATGGTCCAGTCTTTGGTCTGTTGTTTTTTTTTTCTGCTGCTGCTCCCTGGGTTGTTCCCTTTAAAAACCACACAGATGAATGAAAGCTTGTTTTCCCAGCGTCTGCTGCAGGCTTTGCTGGCCTGGGCTTGTTCTGTGGCTGCCCCTCATCCTCACTCACGAAGCATTCATGAAGCCCCCCCCCCCCCCCCCCCGTGTGCCGGGCCTTGTGCTGTGCTCGGTGACCTTCAGGGCCCTGTTGCGTAGTGTTGGAGCCAAGAAAAGACGGGCTTCAGCCTGCTTCGGTCCTTGGGAGCTAGTCCAGCTGCCTTGCCTGTTGGTCTGCTGCGCAAGCGCTCTGTCCCCCCACTGCCAGATGGGAAATTGTGTTCCCAAAAGATTCTTTGCCGTCGAAGGAGGGTCCATAAGGGCTTTTAAAGTAGGGCTCAGCCGCCTCTTGAAGGGAGTTGCTGTACCAGGTGAAGAGTGCCGATCCCCGGGGAACTCCTGACTCAAAAGTAATTAGAATAATGTCAGCCAGAGGCTGGGGGTGTGTCTGGGTGTGGTCAAGTCTTCCTTACTGCCTGCCTGCCTGCCTGCCTGCCTGCCTGCCTGCCTGCACAAAGGGACGTCCTGGCCTGGGCCCCATGCCCTGCTGCATCTCAACTAAAACTCTTGATTCACCAGACTCGGGTCTTTGTGCACCTTTGGGAAGGGCTCACTGGGCAAAGAACACCCTCCCCCCATCGCTGCTTTTCCCTAGCATTAAAGGTTCTGTCGCCCCAGGTTGGCACCTGTCAGCCAACTGGCAAGTTTGGGGATATTTGAAAACTGTTGAGACACTGAAAATAAGAAACAAAACCCTCACTTGGGTTTATGCTTTGTTTTTGCAGATCCATTTTCCTGGTTCTGATGTTTCTCTTTTATAAACTAAGATTTCTGAATCCTCTTCTGGGGTGTGGGGGGAGCGGCTATACTGTCTCTTGCAAATAGACTCCCACAAAGGATGCCCCATTCTGTTGCCATGCTGCCTCTCTCTGCACCAGGCCTTGAGGATTGCTCTGAAGCCACACCCCCACTGTCCAGATTGGACAGTGATTCTTTCATGTGCCTCTCAGAAAAGGCTCCATCTCATTCCACCGTTTTCTTTAGACCGCTGGTTCTCAACATGTTGTCTGAAATGCTTGAGACCCTTCCAGGGGGTCCATGAGTTCAAAACTAATTTTCTAATAATACTAAGCTGTTTTAAGTTCTAATACGGTAAACACTGCGAGCTCTGACGAGCGTGAACTAGGACTCTTTAGGGTCCTCGATGCTGAAGCTTGTCTCGAGGTCCTGAGACCTGCTGCCTCAGACCCACATGTGGTTAATTGTGTTTTCTGAGAAACTTGCTAGGAGGTGGTCATGACTTCTGTGTGGGATAGGCTCACAGTCCAGCCTTCAGTGCTTTCGTTACTTGCACAATTATTGTTCCTTTTTACTTAGGACAGGAAGTCCCTGTTTATTTTTCCATCCCTTGCTCAGTGTAGATGTTTAGAGAAGTGTGTACATGTGGCCAAGCAGCGTTTAGATTGGATCCATCTGTTAAATTGTTTCTTAACTATAAACTTGAGGGCAGCATTGTAATCTCTGTTCCTACAACGGCTTGGGTTGAGAGGGAATGAACCCCCCCCCACACATTGGCTCAACAGGCTGCCATCTCAGAAATGAGTTAGAAGGTTGTCCGAGAGGGAGTGGCCTTGACCAGGGGTCAGGACATTAGGGTGCTGCCTTGAGCTCAGCCACAATTTCTTCTCTGTCCCCAGTTCTGTGGCCTCTGTCTTTCTGCCAAAGAGGTTTCAGGATTCCCGAGCCATTTCTGTTCCCTCAGGGCCTTCAGTGGAGGGACTGAAAAGGTACAAGGCCAATGACTGCTTCCCCGGGTCCGGTTTCTGAACCCTCCCCAAATCTTTAAGTCAAAAGTTCAAATGTCACCCTGTCCCCATCCCCCTCAGCCAATATGGTTCCCAGTAACTGGAAACCTCCCCAGTCACATCAACTAGAAACTGCCAGCAACCCTGTGTAATAGGCAGGACGGATATTTTTATGCCCAACTTGGAGAAACCCCACTAAAGGCCTCTAACACCACATCATGTCCTTGGTTTTCAAAGGCTATGCCTTCAGGTTCAGTAAGACTAGAAAGGCTGAGTCTGGTCCCATTAATGGACTGTATGGATGTGTGTGTCATCCAAGGGCCAGGCTAGCTCCATTCCAAGAGGCTCGTAATAAGGTTATCTACAGAGTGGTTAATTTTTCAGCCTCTTGTATTGAGGGCTGCATTCTGAAGAGGTGGAGGGACTGCCCGTATCCACAAAATCACAGGTGCTTGAAATAGTGTACTAATTCATAGAATCTCAGGTGTTGGGTTGGACTCCCCTGGCCATCCAGCTTTCTCCCCACCATTGTCTCTAAGAAATAATTTTACACTTTGTCTACATCTACAGATGTTTATTATGCATCTGAGGGACTGGGGATCCCCAGGCAAAAATGGAGACACACAAAGGAAATGCTGGTAAACTTGGTTGGGATGGGAGGAGTGTCATCAACAGCTGGGGGCATCTGGAAAGACTGATGGGGTGGGGGGGGGGAGCCAGGGCCTTACAAGTAGAGAGCACGGGAAAGTGCCTGCCAGGCCTGTGCAAACACACAGCAGAAACAAGCTGTTCTGTGTGAGGGTGACCAGAAGGCCAGGCTGTTTGTGGGGAGGAATAAAGTTTAATTGTCTAGCAAGATTATGAAGGTTTGAAATGCCAGCAGAGGCCACCCTGGGGATTTGTGAATTTATTTTCCTCAGGCAAGTCAAATGGGAGAATTCAATACCAAAAAGCTTTTTTAATTGTACTAGGAAAAGAGGTTTATTAAATGGAGGAAACAGTTCAGGTTTTTGGGAGTAGGCTCTGAGTTTCTGATTGTTTCCTATTATGGATGCCTTTTGTTTTTACATCAGGGATTTCCAGATATACCCTCTGTCCAGCCTTATCCCCAAGAAGAGCCCCAAGTCTGCCAGTCTATGCAACATCCCACACCCATAGTCCTCCACCTCTGAAAGAAATAAAGGATGCCAATTTCCCCATCAGTTCCTCCAGAGACAAGATTAGCCATCTTAGTCATACTGCTTTGGCTTCCTTTCACTGTTTTCATTTGAATGAAATTGTGTGACCTTAAGCCCATGATGAAACTAGGGCAATGATTCACATGTCTTCTTCCTGTTGTCTAGTGACTTTATATAACTACCTAACATTTTCCTTGCTCTAGCCCCTCACCCCCACCCCATCCCCACATAGGGAAGAGGGGGACGGTGCCTTCTCCTGTACTCAGGTCTTTTGTCCAAGAAGAAAGCAAAGCTACTCACTAGGGCAGTTGTCTGGGTGAGAAACCAGCTTTTTAAATCAGGACCCTGTGCGGCTCAGATGGCCCCCGTCTGTCTCCTCCAGGAATGCTGAGGGCTGTGGAAATGAAAGCATGACATCTCTCCCTCACCAGCTGTCAGACAGCCAGAGAGCAGGCTGGGATGGAAATTTCCTTTAATTCAGACAAATGTGTCACATTGCAGTGCGTTTGCAAGTAGGGAAGACAGCTTATGTAGGGCATGCAGCCCAGCACAGTGTTGGAGAAATACTTATTTTTTTAGTTGACTGGTCTTATACATCCATCACTGCCCTTAGTGAATTATTCATGTGCCCTTCCTGAAAAGAACAGTGTTGCCCATTTCACAGTTACAAAACTGAAGAGCATTCATTTGAAGAAGGCAAAGGCGCCTGAAGCAGCCTGCATTGAGAAAGATGGGGTGTGCACGTTGAAAGTCCAAACCCAGATACTCATTTCTTGCTGCTGTTTCAGTTGTGTTTGGCTCCTCATGACCCCATTTGGGGTTTTCTTCGCAAAGATACTGGAGTGGTTTGCATTTCCTTCCCTTCTCCAGCTCATTTGACAGATGAGGAAACTGAGGCAAACGGATGAAGTAACTTGCCCAGGGTCACACAGTTATTAAGTGTCTGAGGCTGACTTTGAACGCAGGTCTTCCTAATTCCAGGCCTGGTGCTCTATCTGCTGCAGTGCCACCTAGCTGCCCTTATTTATTCAGTTACTTTCCAACAAAATATGAGCTCCTGGAGAATAGCATTATCTTCAATATCCCTAACACTTACCACAAAGCTTGACCTGTAGTAGGTTGTTTAATTAATTAATTGCTTGTTAAATGGCAATTGTATACTATGATATTTTAAAATACACAGGGATTAGTTGCTTTGTAGACTTACACATTGTTAAGAGGGGAGGAGGGAAGGAAGAAGATACAGAGAATATTGGGCACACAGGTTTCATTTGGATCTGCATTGGAGAGAGACTTTGGTTTTGCAGATGGAGAAGTCCTCATTTTCAAAACAGGCCTGTGGTCAATCTGATTTTAACTGTTATTTTACCAAATGTATAAAATGGGGGGGGGGAATAAAACCATTTATATGGGGCCTATGTGCTGGGCACTGTGCAAATAAATATCTCATTTGATCCTGACAACAACCCTTCGAAGGAGGTGCTATTATTATCCTCATTTTACAGATGAGAAAACAGGTTTAGTGACTTAGCCAAGGTCACGTGGCCTGTAAGTGTCTGAGGTCATTTTCGAACTTGGGTCTTTTTGACTACAGGCCCAGCTCTCTATCCACTAGTGAAATCGGGCTTCATGATTGTAACTCGTGTTTGTACAGAAGAGAGGGTTTGCCAGTTATGTGTAACTGTTTTCTCTTTTAACACTGCAGGCCCCGTCTGTGGAAAGGGGACTGCATTCAGCCAGAGGAGAGAACATTTTTTGGTAGGAAAGTGATTTCGGGATGTTGAGAATGTTGGGTTGTTTTTTTTTTCCAGGACGCTGAGCCCTCCCCTGGTCCCACTGTTACTGGTTGTAGCTCTAGGAAGAGACTAGAAACGGGAAAGGCACAGGCGAAGCAATCCTTATCTGCCCATCAGTACTTAGAAAAGAATCACTAAGGAAATAGAGACAGTAACCAGTTAAGCTGCTGGTTACAGAACCAACCACAGGAACTGTCAGCAGTTCTACTTTGTATCTCCTCTGTCTGGCTGCGGTGGAAATCCTTCGGGTCGTGGCCCCGGGGAGAAGAGCTGACGCGTGGGCCCTAGGGGCCTAGCCCTGGGACCAAGTTCGAGGCCGGGTTGCTGGGGACTCAGGAGCCCCGTTCGCTTTGGATCCTCGCCTTCCAAGAGCTGCCCTTGGAAGTGGGCTCAGAACGTCCTTGTCGGTCCCGGGTTTGAGCTCAGCCTCTGACTGTGTTGGGGGGAGAGGGTCAAGGGGAGGTGCCCGGGTGGGAAGAGACTTGGTCTGCAAAAAAGCCTTACTCGTCGATTTCTCATCCTGGGCAAGGGGTGGGCTAAAATGCCAAGAGGGAAGGGGGGAGTCCCAGTGGGCATCTGTGGATGACACTGAGGATCGACGTTTTAACTGGGAGGACCCCAAGCCAGCTCTCCTATTTTATAGGCGAAGAAACCGAGCCACCTGGGTCTACATTAGTAGAACTACACTGGTAGTTGGTTTTGAAAGCGGCACTCGAACCCACGTCTTCTGATGCTCTTTCTACCGTCCCTAGGGCAGAGTGGACGCAGGGAGGTGGGCGAGCAGAGACCAAGACCTAGGGAGATTTCTGCAAAGCGCTTGCCCCAGTCAGTACCCGGCACATAGTAAGCGCTCAATAAATGGTTGACGTAGAAAGCGCTGCACAGCTGCCGGCCGTGGTTTATCACACGCAAGCACACCCACGCACGTGGACGTCCGAGGGGAGCGCTCTGCGCACCTTCCGGCGCTGCCCTCGGTGGCTGCGGCCCCGCCCCCGCCCGGGATCACGTGACCGCTCTTCACTGGGGGTCCCCTAGCCTGCCACCCCACGTGACCGCTTCCGTCGTTGTCCTGGTAGCGGCTGCGTCGGGGGCGGGGGAAGTGGTGGAGGCGGTGAGAGAGGGGGGAGGAGGAGGAGGAGGAGGAGGAGGCGGCAGGGAGCGGGAGGAGGGAGAGCAGAGCCGCGCCCCGGCCGCCGCCGCCGCCTGGAGCGAGCCGGAGCCGAGGGCGGGGCGGCCGCTCGGTAAGTACGGGGGCGCGGGGCGGGGGGGGGGCTGTCACGTGCCCCGCGCGGGGGGAAGGGGGAGGGGCCGGGGAACCCCCGCAGAGACGTGGCACATCACCCCCTCCGCCCTGGGAAGGCTCTCTGAGACTAGGGGTGACCCCGCGGTGATGGGGGACACTAAAGGATGAAGACCAGCTCCGGAAAGCCGGCTGGAGGAGGAGGACCTGGGAGGGGCGGGGGAAGACTCCCTATAGGGAGGATCGTGGGGTCCCGGGGGCACCCGCAGCCGCCAGAACCCACCACCACCTGGACGACCAGCCACGGAGAGTTCGGTGCGCAGAGCCTGCCTGCTCTGGGAGCCTTGGTGTGGGGGGCCGGGGGCCGGCAGGGATTCCACGTGGAAGTCTACATCGAGGCGTGGGCTGGAGTGTGTGTGTGTGTGTGTGTGTGTGTGTGTGTGTGTGTGTGTGTGTGAGTGTGTGTGCGCGCGTGCATGCCTTCAGCTGTCCATGCATGCACGTTCTCTCGGAGAAACATATGTGTGTGTTGTAGTCCATGTACTTGGCATGGACTTGGTGTGTAGTCACCTGATGGATGCACTTACCTGAGGATCTCTCTCTGGCTATGGGTGTGTGTGTGGTCCATGGATGTCTGTTCTCATGCAGAAAGGGCTATGTGTGTGGTCATCTCATCATCTCATGGATGCATTTCTCTGAAGATCTCTCTCTGGCTATGGATATGTGTGTGTATGTAATCGGTTCATGAATGTAGTTTTCCTGGGGAAAGATCTGCAGGAGACCCCTGGTTGTCCTGATGCCCACCCACGGGCTGCTGAGTGTCTCTGGGGAAATTGCCACTGCGGTTCCGGTAATGTTAATAGATTGATGGTGCTGCAGTAAGGTAGTGTTTCCTGCTGGGAAGGGATTCAAATTGTGGACCTGGGAAAGATTCATGATACTAAGCTGACCGAAGGTAATCCCCATGGATCCTTCCCAGGAGATGTTTAGTGGTTGGCCATGGTGAATGGGGGCCTGTTCCTGTGGTGGGGTTGTAGGGGGCAGCTGGCAGAAGCAGAAATTGGGGAGAAATGATTGGGTCTCCTGTTATTTCGCTGAGAATAGCCATGTAAAAGTGAAGCATAGGCTGGGGGATGGGACAAGCCTGCATAGGCTCTACTGTTAATCTTATTTGCTGTCTCTTGACCATCAGAACCCACAAAACCACCCATTGAAAAGCAGTTTAATTTGAGCAGACACCCGTCTTCACAGTCCAGGACTTCTTACCGATTTAAAATCAGCAGATTGATTAAGGAAAGGGATTTACAGGGCTCCTTCTCCCTTAGCATTTTTCTCCCACCTTAATGTTCATATGATAAAATGAGGGTAGAGTCACAACATTCAGGTGGGAGAGCACCCGGAAGAAAAGAAACTGGCATTTCCTAATTAGGAAGTTACTAGATTATTTAGATCAGCCCAATGATGAGTTGTGTTAGTTTTCCTGAACCCTCCCCAAGGAAGTGTATAGAATGCTTGTATCCAGTGCTGTTCACAGGGAGTGTCAGTTACCTGTAACTGACCAAACATGGAGGGTGGGTACCTCAAGCCCAGTTGAAAAGAGCCCAGGTTTTCCACTGAGAATTATGTAAGTCATTAAGCTGTGTTGATTGCCACCCTTCTCCCCCGCAAAAAAAAAAAAATTCTTCCTGAAATTACTGATTCCTGATAAGCAGTTTTTAAAAATTGCAACTTGTGGATTAAGAGAAAAAAAATGAGTTTACTTTCAAATTATAGGCAAGAAAAAAAAAAGGCAAAACCGCACAATCTTGTTTGCTCCTGCTGCTGACATTTGTAAGATTCCCCTACCCCTACTTAGCTCACCAGGGTCCAGAAACACTGATTTGTTTGTAATAGCCCTAAGCAGTCTTTTCATGTAGACTTTGTGTGCTAACCACAAGGAGCCTGTGACCTTGAGGCTGACTCCACAGATGAATTAGTACTGGTCACATAGAGTTGCATGCACAGATTCGGTCCCTTTTGGTGTATGGATACAGATCCTGGGACAGTTAGTGTTTAGAGCGCCTGCCTGGAATTAGGAAGACTTGAGTTCAAACTCACCCTCAGACACTTAGCTGTATGGCTCTGGGCAAGTCATTAACCCTGTGTGCCTCAGTTTCCTCATCTGTAATCCAGTCAGTACATTTGCCAAGAAAACCCCAAATGGGGTCATGAAGAGTCAGACACGATGTAACAGCTGAAGAACAACAATGATATATCTATATCTATATCTATCTATCTATCTATCTATATCTATATATATATATATATATATATATCTATATATATATCTATCTATCTATCTATCTATCTATCTATCTATATATATATGTATATATATATATATATATATATATATATATATATATATATATATTCTGACCCCTCGAATTCTAGTTTCCCTGAAATCTGCATTTGGATTACAAGAGATTAAGGCTATACCTGACGAGATCAGTCTCTCTTACATTTAGTTCAAATCTTCAAAACCAAATTCACCATTGGTACCCCTCCCCATAATTGGCACAGTGTATAGAGTGCTGGGCTTGGAGTTAGGAAGACTCATCTTCATGAGTTCAAATCTGTCCTCAGACGCTGTGTGACCCTGGGCAAGTCACCTTAATCTGTTTGTCTCAGTTTCCTGTAAAATGAGCTGGTGAAAGAAATAGCAAACCACTCGAGTATCTTTGCCAAGAAAACCCCCAATGGGGTCATAGTGAGACATAACTGGAAAAAAAAAAGAAAGAAAAAAGACAAACAAAAAAAGACTGAACGACCACTACCCCTCTCTACCCAGTCTGCAGTTCCAGATTTCTCCTCAATGTATGACACTCCATCTAAAAAACATTTTTAACTCTTTCTGTGAAGACCTGCTTTAGTTATTTGTAATGATAACCTTTTTGTTTTCAGTGTGTGAAATATGCTGATTTAACCTAAAGCTTGATAAAAAGAAAATTTCATTGTAACATATCACGGGAGGGATTTTAAACAGTCTATTGAAGAACGTGTCACCCTTCAGATATACTGTTTTCTGACTTAGATGCCTTCCTTGAAATGTTTGGTCCAGACATTTTAAAAGGACTGAAGGTAACTAGTCTTGATTCTTCAGACCTGAGAAGCATTTGGAGAGAGATTTTTAAATGCTGACTAGGGAGCATCAATTGCTGTTGGGGTTACTCGAAATTCTCAAATGTAGACAGGTGCAAAATGTTAGGTTAGGCTTTAGGTCCTGGAATGGTTCCTCCCTTGGGGAGAGTTCAAGGAATTTTTAACTAATCTTTCTATCTCATCTTTCTATTCCCACCTCTGCTTGGAAGCTCCACAGGTATTTTAATCAGGCAGGTTCAAGTCAGGATTCTGGCAACAGAGCCAACAGTTTAATTCACTGGGACAGTGCCTGCTGGGTAGGCTTGAGCTTTGTCTTCTGGAAGCCCCTTCTAAGTTTAGACAGGCCTCTCACATCTTAACATGAAACCTGGTAGCAATAGGACAGTTTGATGTGACAGAAAGGGCATGGGAATGGCAGTTGTAAGTCTTGGGTTCAAATCCAGACTCTGCCACATCCTTCTAGCTGGCTAACCTTGAGAGAAAAAACCTCAGTTTCTTCATCTCTAGAATGGGGGCAGTTACAGTTTTACAGCCTTCCTCTTAAAGAACTCTGTAAAGGTGAGTTGCTGTTAGGAAAGAGTTGGTTCTTTGCTCTCTTTTTGGTGGCTGTTTGCTTATCTAGATCACTTAGATGCCACAGAGATGGGAACCGTAGACTTACAGAGTTAGAGTTGCTATGCCTTACCCAATTATTTCTGAATCATATTTACTTGGTTTTCGTTGTCTTGTCCTGTGTCCTTGGCTCTACTCGGAACATAGATTTTCTCTTATTTCTTCCCCCCAGCTTTGTTTCCAGCATGAGTGCAGAGCTCAATGTCCCTGTGGACCCTTCCCCGCCAGCTTGCCCTGAACCGGGTAATAAAGGGATGGATTATCGGGACTGGGTTCGTCGCAGCTACCTGGAATTGGTCACTTCTAATCATCATTCAGTACAAGCCCTTTCTTGGAGGAAGCTCTACCTGAGCAGGGCCAAGCTCAAAGCTTCCAGCAGGACTTCCGCCTTGTTGTCTGGATTCGCCATGGTGAGTTTTTAACTGATGTCTTGGGATGGGAAGATGCTGTCAGCAAGACCTTGTGTCTGCTGGGGTCCTTTGGTGTTTCCTAAAGTCAAGGACTGCCCCTTGGCCTGCACTGACAGCCAAGCAGTGCTTGTCAGGAGATTTTTGCCAACACCCTGAGTTCTGCAGAGGGGGTGTGTGTGTTGAGGTTGCTGCTGAGGCTTGCCAGCAGTTCAAAGGGGCTCTTTTTTTTAAAGAAATGAGCCTTTCTGGACCACACATGTGAGTTAGCTGATGGGAATCCAGGAACACTGAGTTGTTAGTCTTTGTGTACATGAATTTAATACTTTGTGCCAAGAGAACGGCACGGCTGGAGATTTTAGGTCTTACTGAGTATCTTCACATACTTCCTTCTGTTTGATTTTCATGGCAATCCACTGAGGTAGTGGGTGAAGCATTATCCCCATTTTATAGGGGGAGAAACTGAGGATCAGGTTAAGGTCACACAGGCAGGAAGTTCAAGCCACTGGGTCCTCACTCCCAAGTGTCCTTGTTCTCATCCCCTCTAGCCCTTAGAACTAATTGCTGTCAGGAGGTCTGCCGCTCTTTCAGACACTACTAACTGTATTTCCTGGGTGAGGACATGGTCAGGGCTCTGAAAGGATGTTCACAAAACACGGTCGTCCCCCAGATAAACTTGCTCCTGCAAAGCCAGCGTTGGGCTATGTGAGTGACCTCCTCAGTTTTGCTGCCAGGTTGGAAGAGTCCTGACTTCCCAAAAGTGACCTGAGTGATGGCCTCATACCTGTGAGAACCATGAGAAAGTTCTGTTTAGCTCAGCAGGCCTGGATTAAGCACCTACTGCATGCAGGCACCATGCTGGGTGCTAGGGGGATGGACAGGCAAAAACAAAGCCAGCCCTGCTCTCTGAAAGCCAATATTTCACTAGGGAAATATAGGCTGTGTCCAGAGGTGTACAAATGAGGTTCTTTGAAGAGAAAGAGTAGACAGTGTTGAAGACGGCATCTGCCATGGTTTCTGATACCTTGGAAGGATATCCATCATGAAGGGAGCCAAAAAGTTGGCTTCCAAGGAGTTAGATGCATGATTTTATATGGTAGTTTTTGAAGAAATCCAGCCAAATCGTTTCCATTTAATAGAGTCCCAGGGCCTGGACATCCCTTACGTTCTGGATCAGGAAAAGAGTTGAGGCCAAAGAATGTTTTTTCCCAGCTAACCGAATGCACACCCATGTTGAGGACCAGAAGATAAGTTATAAACACTGAGTCATTTATGAGGTCACAGGTTTAGGATTACTTTTCCTGGAGAAGTCACAAGAACAGCCCTCAAATTTATTAGGTTCAGTTCAGTTCCCATTTGTGAATCATCTGCTGCGTGCAAGCCCCTGTCCTTTGGGATGGGGACACGGGGACAGAACGTTCTTTTCTCTTCTCTGCTGTTAGTGCCATGCAGTTAGAGGCTTGTATTTGAATCTTACTTCCACAAATTATGCCCTCAGTGACCTTGGACAAGTCACACAACTCCAGCCTCTTGTCCTCGTCAGTCTTTGATATAGCCCATGGCCCCCAAGGCCTCACAGCTCCAGAGCCATCATCCAATGGCACTGGGACTGGGTACACAAGGCAAGCATGACATCGCTTGGAGAAGGACAGCTTTAGGGAGTGTCAGGACTTTGTAGAGACAGCTGAGTAGAGTCTGGAAGGGAAAACAGGGATTCTGAGAGGAAGGAGCACATTGTAGACACGAGAGCACAGCCTGGGCAAAAACTCGGAGGTGGGAGATAGAGGGATGCATCTGAGGAATCTGGCTGGTGCTCGAGGAAGGCATGAAGTGGAGTCTGAGGAGACGAGCCTGGGATGAGAAGTGGGAGCCAGATCGTGGGGACCTGACAGGTCACGTTGAGGGCTAGCATACCTTTTGCCCTGGCTGCAGCAGAGTGACCGAGCCCAACCTGTGCCTTGGGGAGCTTATTTTTGTGGGCAGATTGAAGAAGGGAGAGGAGAGCCTGGAAGTGGGGACCCTAATTTGGAGGCAATTTCAGCCCCCCAGGTAGGAGGTGGTAGGGGCTTAAACTGTGGTGAATCTGAGTGGAGAGAAAGGGAGGGACGTAAACAACGTGGAGAGAGAATTGATGAGACTTGGCAGCCGATGGTGGAAGGGGACACGGGCAAGGAAGAGCCGAGTGACTCTGAGGTCACAGACCTCCTTGCCTAAGAGGACAGCCGTCCCCAGTGAAAACTGGTTTGGAGGCAGGGCTGCTTGATGGCGAGAAGGTAACGGAAGGGACTTCAGAGACCATTGAGTCTCACCCAGTCGTTTTACAGATGAGGAAACTGAGGCCTGATGTGGGGAAGTGACTTGCCTAGGGACACACAGGTAGGATGTGGCAGAGCTAAGTTGAGTCTTCCAGCCGTCACGCTCATGTTCTTAATGTTCACGCTGAGGCATGACTGCTCACTGCTAGGGTTCAGCGAGTTCCATGTCCAGGGATGGAGCCTTAGAAATGACCCTTAGAGAACAGGCGGGCTGGCACTGGCTGTGCTTGCCTTGTTCTGAGCAGAGCCTGGGGGACCTCCGGGAGGAGGCTCTGTGGTGAGGCAGGGTTGGAGATCAGGAGAGATGTTAGGTTTAACCATTATCTCTGCCCAGATCCATCTCACCAGCCCCAGTGTCTCCCCTGATCACCAGCTGCCTACCGGACACTTCAAATTAGACACGAGTCTCAAAGACAGCTTAAGCCCAACATCATTAAAAACTGAACACATCATTTCCCTGTGAACCCTCCCCATGTCCAAATGTTTCTCATTCTTTAAAAGCATTACCACCATCTTAGTATCTGAGATTAGTCATTTCACTCGCCTTTACCTCATGCATCCAGTCCTGCAAAAATGGACATTTCTGCCTTCATGCTGTCTCTGGTACTGATTCCTCTACGCTCACACAGCTAGCTCCGACCCAAGCTCAGGCTGTTCTTACCTCTCACCTGGATCATTACGGCCATCTCCTCGTGGGCTTCTCCACTCGAGGCCGTCCTCTCCCAGAGTAATTTTCCTTAAGCACAGACCGGACCGTGTGGCTCCCCTACTCAACCAGCTCTCGTGGCTCCCTGTGGCCTCTCGGATTCCATATAACCCTCTGTTACAACCTGGCCCCAACCCCATGTCTCTGGGTTCATTGGACATTATTGTCTCTCCCACACCATTCGATTGGCCAAAGCAGCCTTCTCTCTTTTCCTCACACGTGACATCCCACCTCCCATCTTTGTGCTCCTGCCTCCAGGCATCCCTCCTGCCTGGAAGGCATTCCCTCTTGACTTCCGTGTCCTGGCCCTCCCTCCCCCCGCCATCCCCGCCACTTCTGGTGCCCAGACCTCCCAGTCTACCTTGTAGTGAATCATTTTGTTTGTCTGCCTGTCTATATATATTTACGTGGATTCTGATATAGGTAGTTATATCTATGTAGATGTTACGTAGATGTAGATGTACACAGCTGTACTCTCTACAGAGTGTGTGTGTACTTTATAGTCTATGCCTATATTTTATATGTACTTGCCTCCCCAACTAGAATATAAGCTCGTTGTGAATAGAGATGGTTTCATTCTTTGTACTTGTATCCCTAATGCCTAGCACTGTGCTTGGCACACAGCATGTGCTTAATAAATACTTGTTGATCTGTCCAGAGACGATGAGGACTAAGAGACAATTATTAGCTAAATTTAGTTAATTGTTGATAATCTTTTTTAATTAATTATTTTAAACTTAAATACTAAAACTTAAATACAAAATAAGAAAAAGAAACCCATTATAAACTTAAATACTAAAACAAATACAACATAAGAAAAAGCATTATAAATACTAAAATTTAAGTACAAAACAAGAAAAGAAGAAGCATTGCCATGTGCACAGCAGAACATGAGAGAGGATTCAAAATATACAGCAATAAATTTCCATTTCCAGAAAGCCTATGTAGTAAATACTATGCATTGTGTTCAGAGCTGTCCATGTTCTCTTTGCTTCCTTGTAAATTTTCTTTTGTTCTCTGCTGTGCACTTTTTACTTTGTTCTTTTTTCCCCTTCCTCAACTGTTGATAATCTCGAAGGTAGCCAAGAACATTGCCATGAGAAGAATGACGCTTATAGCTAATGGTGGAGAATGCCTTGAGGTCATTGGGCCCATTCCCATCTTGGGTCTAAACCAGCTTGTACAGACAAGCAGATTTTTGCTTTTGAGATTCCTGGGGAGACTCACCTTTGTCTGTCTTTGTTCTCTGCTCCACTGTTATTCTTCCCAATGGCCGAGACATTTGTTGTCTCACTAAAATCTCTGAAGCCCATTTCTTCTTGTTTGGCCCTAATCCCATCATAACCCCCACATTTCCTTAAAGACAACAGCCCTTTCTGGTTTTCTCCTTTCAAGGCTGCGCAACCCTAATGCCTCTGACTTTTCCTCACAGGACCTATTCTCTTTCTTTTTCTTGGGGGTGGGGGGGCCTAGGAAATAGGGTTAAGTGACTTGCCCAGGGTCACACAGCTAGTAAGTGTTATGTGTCTGAGGCCGGATTTGAACTCAGGTCTTTCTGACTCCAGGGCCGGTGCTCTATCCACTGCACCACCTAGCTGCCCGAGGACCTATTCTCCATCCCCTTAATTTTCTTTGTTAATAGTCTCTGTATCTTTTCCACATCTCCACATCCTTTTGACCAGAGCACAGCTTGTAGTAAGAGTGATTGAGTCATGAAGGTGATGGGGAGGGGATGACTTGAGCCTTGCCACTTGGTAGCCCATCTCCTAAGCGGGTTGGGGTATGCTGCCAACTCCTCTTTGGCTTGTCCACTGAGACTGCCAGATCCTCTTGGTCTGTGCCAGGTATTTCAGGACAAACGGAAAGCAGCTCCACCTGTAGGATGAATATTTAAACATCGAGGGAGGTAGTAGAGTCTTCTGTACTTCTCTAGCTGAAATCATTTTGGGGCAGCTTTGGGTGTCTCCAGTATTTCTCAAGGTTTGGTGGAGTGTGTGCCCCTCTTGTGGCTGGGGAGGCAGGGCTCTCACAGGTACAGAGCCTTCCCCTGTCCCCTTTCCCAGGAACTACTTAGATCCCATCTCTATAAGGCAATCAGGCTTCTGGGTGCTGTGAGTTCTGGGAAGGCCAGGAGAAGGGTTTTGTCACTTCATGTCCAAGTCAGAGCACGAGCCCCTGGCCAGAGCTGCCTTTGGTACTGTGCAGATGAGGCTGCCCACTTCTTCCATATCACAGAGGGGATGGAGAGCATTAGGGAAGCAGAGTGGACTCAGGATGCTGTCAGCTCCTATTTGGAGAGCAAGAACATGTTCTAGTACATGTGTGTCCACACGTGCATACATACACACAAACAGCTCTGTTGGAACACACTGGATCTGAGGTGCATTCTGGACCACTTGGGCCAGAAGTCTTGATTCCCTACTGCTCTGTCCTCAAGTCACCTGTCATCTGTCTGGGGAAAGGGGGCACCTTTCTTGGGACGCCTGCTCACCTGTCCTAGCCGTGGGATTCCTCGTATGGACCGTCCCGGGCATCTGACTCCCCGAGCTTCTCTTTCCATGCCAGGAGCCTCACGGAACGAGGGCTTGGTGAGCAATTCCGAGCTTGCCTAACATTGAAGACTGTCTTCAAATTTCTGCTGGGAACCCAGCAGTCTGGATGATGCCCTGACCCGGGCCTTGCCAGGCCTGTTTTTGGGGTGGCAGGCGTGTTCCTGAGAGAACGTTGTCATTCGCCTGTGTTAGTTTGCAGTGGTAACTAAGACCATTAATTGAGCATTACGATCATTGCTTATGAGCAGGAGAGGTGAAAGCAGTATCACTCGGTGCTTGCCTGAAACGGCACTTCTTAAACTGTGGGGCACTGAAGGGTTTAAGAAGCCCTGATCTGAACAACCTAAGAAGGAGAGCATGGCAGACGCCCCGCCTTCGTCTTCTAGGCCGGCTCCAAGGTGCCCCCTTTTGTTTTGCAGGTGGCCATGGTGGAGGTGCAGCTGGAGATGCAGTACCAGTACCCCCAGATGCTCCTGATCGCCTTCAGCGCCTGCACCACGGTGCTGGTGGCGGTCCACCTCTTCGCCCTCCTCATCAGCACCTGCATCCTGCCCAACGTGGAAGCCGTGAGCAACATTCACAACTTGAACTCCATCAGCGAGTCCCCCCATGAGCGCATGCACCCCTACATCGAGTTGGCCTGGGGCTTCTCCACCGTTCTGGGGATCCTCCTCTTCCTGGCAGAGGTGGTGCTCCTGTGCTGGATCAAATTCCTCCCTGCGGACTCGAGCGCGAAAGGCGGGCCTGACTCCAAGCCGGGGCCAACCGGCCACGCCGGCTGGCAGGCCGCCCTGGTGTCCACCATCATCATGGTGCCGGTGGGGCTCATCTTTGTCGTGTTCACCATTCACTTCTATCGCTCCTTGGTCCGACACAAAACAGAGCGTCACAATCGGGAGATAGAGGAGCTTCACAAACTGAAAGTCCAGCTGGACGGCCACGAGAGGAGCTTGCAGGTCGTGTGAGTAGCCGGACACGCTGGGGGGAGGGGGGATGTCCTTGTGAAGGGCAGAGAAGCTGGAAATAAAACAGGCATTTTGTTCGCAGGAGCACAATAGTCGCTTGAGTTTTTCGGAATATTAAAAATCCAAATTGTTAATTCCTGTTTCTGTGAGGCTGCTTAGACACTGCCACATAGTTCAAGACCAGAATTTTATTCAGTCTCAATACTATAATAATCTGTGGGAAATCATCCCTGAGATGAGGGAAATACTTTAAAATAAGAAACTGTTGCCAAGAAGAGTAAGTTTCCCTCTCCCTTCCCATCTAACAAAAGTAAACTATTTTAAGAGGTAGAGACCAGCCTCCTTGGGCATGGGACACACGGAGCTCTGGATCTCTCCTGAGGAAGAGTCTCGATGTTGCCCCTTTTTCTACAAATCGCTAAAACGGAACAATCCAGGACAAGCCTGGAGCACAGCCTCTCTTCCTTGCCTTGTGCTGTAGCCTCTACATCACAGAGGGGGAGGGCGGTGAGGATGTGCCTGGAACCACCAAGCTCCTGACCCCTTAGAGAAGTTGTCTCCTGCAGGCAGCCGTGCAGATGTGCCCTCAGGGCAGGCAGTGCAAGCTGCCTAAAAAGGAGCCTCTAGCCATCTGCTCCTTGCTGGCTGACACCATCTGGGCCGGCCAGGGATGGGAGGCTCATTCCCCAAGACTCTCCAAAGATTCTTTCCTCCCACCCTGTGTTTCCTGGGGCATCCTGCTCCTGCCTGCTGCCCTGCAGCATTTGGAGATCACGTCTTAGGCGACCACCCCAAAGCCTTCTTACCCCAGCCACTGGGAGGCATCTGGTCTGCCCAGTCCCTCCAGTGGGAGAGCCGGATCATGCCTGTCTTCATGCAGGCCCGAGGCCAGGTATTTCTGGTCTTGAAGGCTGGCATCCCCGAGGGTCCCTGTGCCCCTCTCGAGATCACCGGCTCTTCACAGTTGGAAGGGACCTTCCTCAGAGGTCACCGAGTCTTCCACTCACGTCCATGTGATCTTGTTCTTGCCTCCTCGCTCCTGTGCTGGACTGACATTTTAAATTGCTCTGATGTGGGCCTGGACCAGGACTTGCCAGCCTGTACTCCGGCCCAGATTGACTTTGTGGCTCAGGGGGAACCACTGAAACTTTTCATGAGGACCCAGGTCTTGGTTTCACTTCTGTAAAATGAAAGGGCTGAAACCTAAGTACCTGCTTACCAAGAACCTTTCTGTGATCACTGTCCAAGGACAGGGCTCTTCACGTGGGTACACTGACACCTTAGGAGACCATGGGTAGGCTTTAGGGAGTTCACGAATTTGGATGGGAAGAAATGACATCTGTTTTCACTGTAACCTCTACCTGAAATGTAGCATTTCTTTCCATTGTAAATTTTTGGAAAACAAATTGAAGAGTTCATAGACTTAACCAGACCGCCCAAAGGGAACCTGACACAAAAGAGACGTCCCCATCTCCCATCCTCTGAGAAGAGAAGGCACAGTGGGAAGAAGAATCAGAATGGCCTGCACCTCCTGCATGTTGGGCATCTCCGAGTCAGCAGCTCTTGAACGACTGGCCTTTACTGTAGTCACATGAAAGAGGCTCTGACCTCACAGGGAAGTTTTTTGTTTGTTCTTACAGATGATAGTAGAGTTCCCTAGGACCCTTCTTTACACTGTTTTCTCATCTTTAAGGGCAACTTAATATAGTAATTTTTCAGAGCCTACACCATCTCTGCTATAAATAAAGTCCTTAAAGGCCTAAGAAGTGACATGCCCTTGTCAACAATATTAAAAACATACCCTTGAAACGTGAAGAACTCTCCTGTGAGGTAGGTAGGGAATGCCTAATACAAGTTGTTGCTGCAGTGTTAATGGAAGGTTGTGACTTGCAGCCAGTCCCTCATCCCGGCATAGAAGTGACCCTGAGTTTTTGAAGACCACAGCAGCGGCCCAGTCTGCCTGCCTGGCCAAGTGCACAGCCATGGTCGCCACCTGGTGGCACCAGGCCATGGTAGTCGTGGAGGGTCCAAGAAATTCCGCCCCATTAAGCTGAAGACAAAACTTGAAATACTTGTGCAACACACTCTCTGCATGCTGGTGAGCCATTTTCTCTTTAATGTGTTTTTGTTGAATCTACGCCCTTTAATCTTGTTGGACACATCAGGTTTACTGTTTTAAGCCCTGTAAAAATACGGAAGTTGAGACTGGTGCACAAAGACTGCTTTGCAGTTTGTGGTGTGATACATGAGGAGCTAAGAGGGAGGAGTCTGGGCTCTTCTCCAACATGATCCACAAGGGAACTCGGGAGCCGATTGTGGGGAGCCAATGGGAAGGCTGTCCCGTGGCCTCCGGTCTTTATCTAGAATTCCTGGCCTGGACACAGATGTGCTAAGAGGCAGGTGGGATGCAGGCTGAGTTCTAACCTCCTCTGCTGGTCTGGCGGGATGGCTGAGCTGCTCCAGAAAGGGCTTCCAGACTTTTAAAGAAAAGCCATCCATTTTCTGGCCCAGGTTGACCCTATTCAGAGCAGTTGTTATAAAACGTAGTGTTGTCTAGATTTTTGACTTGGACCTGTCTGGTAATAAATATGGAACAGAAGCAGCAATGCTGTTGAAGAGGCATCGCCTTCTCCACCATGGAGGGCCGAGGAGTTAGGGCACCACGATGCGCTCCTTCTGGCCTCAGAAGAGCTCTGTGTTCTTTTTTGTCTGTGATGGTTCTCAGGGTGTTGTTCAGAGGTGATAAAGAGCTGATATGCAGAGATGCAACAGCACGTGGAATTGACTGCAGTGGTGTCTACAGAACTGTGAATATTTCTAAATAAACTGAGCAGATTAGGTTGCAAACCAGAAAAAAAAAACTTGGGAAAAAAAATGGGGGAGGAACCTTGGTGGGCACTTTGATGAGTCGTCAAAAGCTGGACACTGTTTAGGGAAGGTCTCACAAGGACATAGGCAGGGCTTAATAAATACCTGTCATTTGACTGGCCCTTTGCAATTTCCTGACTCCTGCAGTCCTAGGACTGCTCTGGAGGCTCAGGGCTAATGCTGGGTCCCACTCTGGGGAGCATAGGGATCTCCCTGCACTTGTTTCTACTAAACTCAAATCCAGGCTTAGATCCCTTAAGGCACAGGGAGCAGGTTGGCCTCTTATTTTCTGATTAACTCCTAGCCACTAGAGCACTTGCTCTGTCCTTGCCTTCATGGCTCCTGTCAAACCTCGACACTCAAATGTTTTGAGATGACTCTGAATTCAGAGCACCTCCACTTCATATTCGTCGCTGTTTCAAGATTCAGTCATTCCTGTTGTAGTCATTGAGAAGGCCAAATACTTTTAAGCATCCAGAGAAAAGTCACATTTTTCTCGTGAGATCTTTTACAACAGAATGATCCGACCTCGGAGGCACAAAGGTGGCACTTGGACAGACACTCGTACCTACTGTAGGTGACACTGGTCTTTATCGATGCATGGAAGTCGTGTAAAGCGTATATATTGTACATGATCTTTCTCCCGTGTGGGCTGAATAAATAACTGAGGCTATAAAAAGCTCATTTGATTTTGTGTAGTTTCAAAGATCAAGGCTTTCATATCATTGCATGGAGGGATGTGACCTTAGGATTCCATTAAGCACATCCCCGAGTCCAAGGACTGACTGACTGTTCACCACAGGAACAAGTTTATTCACCCTTCTCTTAAGGACCCCTAGAATCCTCCTCATTAAAAGTCTTTTGCCCAACTACTTTAAAAAGCCTTATAGTCTTAATTAGAGGCCTCAATTCCTATTGTACAAAGAGGGACATCTCACCTCTCAAGGTGAGATACTTTCCCCAGACCAAACCAATTAAGATGATGACTATGCTTGATATAAATCTTGGGCATCTTCACCCCTTTATCTGGGACTACAGGGGAAGGGATATTCAACCAAAGGCATCACTGAAGTCTACGGGCATGGAATGAAGAACACCTCAGACACATAACACTTATTAGCTGTGTGACCCTGGACAAGTCACTTAACCCCACTGCCTAGCCAAAAAGGGGGGGGGAAGGAAGAACAGATGAGCTAACTAGCTGGGTGGGGTGGGGAGGAGCCTCACTCGTTTCCAACCCAGTTGAATAGGAGCAGATAATCAGCTCTATGCTTGACTTATGGATAAGCCCCATTGGCTTAGGTCAGACTCCCTACATATAATTTTAATAATAGGGAAAGTTTTTTGAGACTACACTTTTTTTTTTTAGGCAGTTGGGGTTAAGTGACTTGCCCAGGGTCACACAGCTAGTAAGTGTCAGATGTTTGGTCTGAGGCCAAATTTGAACTCAGGTTCTCCTGACTTCAGGGCAAGTGCTCTATCCACTGCGCTAGCTAGCTGCCCCCGAGACAAGACTTTTCGTGACTGGCAGCTAGAGTAGAAAAATCACCAGACGATGTTAGGAGACCTGGGTTCAAGTTCCAACTCCCAAGACACTGGGCAAATCCCCATCTTTCCCCCTCTCCTCTCTGGTCATTTCCTTGTCTTTGAAAGAGGGGGAGGTTGGACAATTGGACCAGGTGGTCTCCAAAGGTCCTCTTAGCTCTGAAATTCTGATTCTAAACTATATTTAGGGAATTTCGTGTATATGAGGTAGTGGACGACATCATGTGTAAACACGTTTAGAAAAGGGTTTATTCCCCCCCACAGATCTCTATGCTTGTTGAAAATCCAAAGCAGTCATTGTCCTAGGATGCTGCCAATTCGCCTTCCTCCTTAATTTTCAGTGATTTTGTTTTGAGTGTGGCTTTCATAGCCACTCGTACAGCTACAGGGTTTGGGCTGATCATCTTCAGGTCATGACTTTTAGAACCATTAGGAGACTAACACTGACTTGGCTCATGAGTTCAATGCTAATATCGAATGTCATCCTCTCAAAGAAAACACATCAACACTCAGGCCGCCAAGTTAAGTGTGACCTCAACTAGAATAAACCAGGCTGACTATAGGCTTGGTTTGTGACCTTTTTCTCCAACCCCACCAACCCATGCTGGGCTGAACTCATAGCTCCAGAACTGGACCAGCCCTCTTCCCATGGGAGAGGAGGGAAGGTTATGAGGCCAATAACTTTTTTTTTATCCTACCCCCCCCCAATAGCCCCACCTGAATATAAGGGGACCTGAAGTAAGAGGAATAGGTGGGTTTATTACCTTTAGGGGTACGGCTCCTGAGGTCACTTCAGCCTAGGGCTAAGGTCTAGGATGATGCCCATCTAGCCTGTAGGATGGCATAAACTGCTGGTCCCAGGATGCTCAAGGACAGGGGGTATTGACTTAGTTTGTGGCATGGACCCCTTCTTGGAACCATGTTTTTAAATGTGTAAGGTAAAACAGAATGTTACAAAGGACTTAATTTTGTTGAATATGACAAAATATCAAAAATGTTTTTAAAAATTCAGACCCTAGATTAAGAACCCCTGTTCTAGCTTGCACCCCCTAGTTCACTCTGGATCCCCCCCCCAAGTCACTTAAAACTTGTGTTGACCTGACCTCTAGAACTAGTTTGGCTCCCTGGGGTCTTACAGGCTGGGACTGAGCTAGATTTCCTGTGACTATTTCAGTCTGGAAGAACCCCTAGGGGGCTCTTGTATGGGAACTGGAATACCCTTACAACGCTGGGCAAGGGAACAGAAGTACCCTTGCCAGGTTGGGCAGGGCATCCAAAGAAAATCACAAATTGCTTTGAGAAATTCTCATTGGTTAGCCTGTGCCCAAATTTAGAATCCAAAGCAAATAAACAAAACTATTTTTCTGAAGTCATCTGGAAGCAAAGGCACAGGACAAGATGAATTATCACGTCCTTATGTTAAAATGGAATGATGTTCTTTTTTTTTTTTCTAGTGAGGCAATTGAGGTTAAGTGACTTGCCCCAAGTCTGTATACAGCTAATGAGTATTGTATCTGAGGCCAGATTTGAACTCGGGTCCTCCTGACTCTAAGGCCAGAGCTCTATCCACTGTGCCACCTAGCTGCCCCTGGAATGACCTTCTTTAGAAGCCACAAGGAGTAGTGAAGATAAACTAATGGGCAGAGCCCTATAAATCGCTGGCTGTAATTCCAGCTCTGTTGTGGACTAGTTGGGGGGACCTTCGATTTGCCTGGGGATGAAATCTCCCCACCTGATGAGAGGAGTGGAGTGAGGAACCTTTAAGGTCTCTCTCAATTCTAAAAGTCTTTTTTAACATAGAATTTTGTATTACTAGTTTATTGCCGTTTGAGTTCATAAAAATATCACAACTACCAACTTGGAAAATGAGTATTCTACAACGTTAAACCCAGTAGATCTACAGAAACGTGCTAAGTGATTAAGCTTGACAGCCTTCTGGTATGAGAATGTACTGATATCTGGTGTGTGCCAGCTCCCCAAATGCCCACAGTCCCAGCCACTTCGGCCATTTGGGGTTTCCAGAGCCCGAGGAGTCCTGGAGAGCTGCCTCCTCAGTGTTCTGCATCCAGGGGCAGCCAGGAGGTTGGGCTTGCATGAAGGAGTTCAGCAGGCCTTGCCACTGCTTGTCCCCAGAAAGAACCGGTCAGGTCTGAGCCCCATGATTAACTTCCAGCTTCTCTGCTGGGCGGGCATCCTCACTGTTAAGCAGTGAAAATCAAACTGGTTCTAGCCACCTTCCTGTGCGCAGAGGGTGGCATGGGTGGTACCATGCAGCACGTAGGAGCATTACTAATGCTGTCCTACAGAAATGGGAGAACATCTCTGGTAACGAGAAACTCTACCGAGGAACACGGCCTCTACCCTCTCGTGAGAGCTCCTCATGACCAGGTCTTGTGCCAGGTGGGCCTCCCCCAAGCCCTGCCCACGTGAGATCTGCATGGCTTCAGACTGGGGTTCCTGCGCCAGCAGCAAGTCTATCATTCAAAGGAATTGAGGACAGGCCGTTCGTACCTCCATTGCCTTCTCAGAACTTAAAAAAAAATACATGTTTAATGACATAGATCATCTTTCCACAGAATGTTGAGTACATTGAGAATGACCCCACTAGTTTTACGTGTATTTGGGTGAGGTAGATATAATAAGGTAGGGGCCTTTCTCGCTAGTGGAAATGTTCATAAGCCAAGATCCACCAGGACCAGGGTACGAGGAGGGTGCCCTGTGAGCGTCCTCCGGCCTGGCCCCTCCAGGCCAGCCACGGCCTTGGTGAGGCAGACCCCATCACGGCCAAGGCTGCACCACAATTCTTCCTGCCCTCTCCAGCTCCACCTTTAAGGACCCTCAAGGCCTTCAGCCAAAAACAATGAAAGATGAGACTTCCCCAAGAGCTGCCCTGACAACAGAGCAGGACTAGACGATGCCCCATTTGGCTTCAGGGTTTCAAGTGCAGCCGAATTAAAACAAGCGATCCTGTCGTGAATCTGGTGTTTTCAGGCACATCAGCGCTGTTGGGTCCTGGACTCATTTCTTGACACATTTGGGTGCTGGCTCCCTTTCTCGGGACCTGTCACACGGGTTTTCCTTGGAAGGACAGAGCTATTTCCAGGAGCTCCTGCCCTAGTTCTTCCTGCTTTCCTCCAGGACAGAACTCAGCTGACAGCTCCCGAAAGGTGGCACAGATTCGGTGGCTCTCAATGTGCCGGCGGTGGATGGCATGTTTCCACTGATGGCGGGCAGCTCCAAACAACACAAGCAGGGATCTAGCAGGTAAGTGAATGGCCACTTCCACGTGGTCACACGGAACAGATCGCCAGGTGCTCTGGGCGTCCTCAGGGTCTCCCGTCTTCGTTTCATTCGGCACAGAGTTCCTCGTTCCCTGTGGGGCCATGGAGAGTAACTGAAGTCTCTCATCTGAATCCCGAGACATGGACAGCACTGTTGGTGAGAGCAGATTGAGGCTGACCAGCCGTTCTCCCCAAAGCCAGGAGTCATCCAAGTGGGGGTCAATCGCAGAGCCTCGTTCGGGGTGGTAGTCCAAGTTACACTGCTCAACCGGCAGGAACGTCTCTAGGATGGGGTACATCCCCATCCTCCGCACGATCTCCCGGCTGAAGCTGGGCAGGCCATGGAAGCTGCCAGGCTTCAGCTTCTGTTTCCTAAAATTGACTCTGGGGCCATAGTCCTGTAGAAAAGAGGAAAGGAATGGTGATTTTTGCTTGGAAAAATTTCACAGCCAGCACATTTCCTCATTAAACAAACCTGAAATAAGTGCCTAAGCAGTTGAGCAAAGACACCCAGGCAGACTGGATTTCTAACGGATGTCTGTAGGCCTGCGATGACAGGCACTCAGTTCTGTACCGGGGGACCACCAGGGCTTCCGCCATCTGTGCTACGGGGCTTGGGCTCCCTGCACACCTCAGAAGACAGTCTCTGGGGGCTGCTCAGGCCAAAATGAGCCCTCCACTGAGCTGCTTCCCCAGACAAATTGGGTATTCCAAGCTGGAAAGCTTGGGCTTCTGCTGGAGACGTCAGGGGAGGGCGCTGTTGCCAGTGCGCTATAGCACAGCGAGATGGACACTAAAGGAGGAGGCGCAGCGATGCCCTGGCAGATGCCGTACCTGTTTCCTTCTTCCAGACTGTGAAAGTTTCCAGTCATCTTGATCCATCAACCGAACCAGCTCAGCCTCCTCCTCAGCACTAACAAAGTCCTTTATCAGAGCTACTCCTGGGAAAGGAAAAGCCCAGCCAGCAAATTCTGATTTCTCCATTCCTACGGCTAAACCCATTTCTGAACAATAGATGAAATGGGCTGTCTTCTGCAAAGGAAAAGACACAAGGTCCTGGAATGAGAAAGTTTCATTTTCAAGGGTTAAGTCTCCTCAACCTCCTTCTGTCCTCAGCAGGGAAAGAAACAAGCATTCATTGAGCACCTACTACATGCCAGGCACTGTGCTAAGTACTTTATAATTATCTCATTCGATCCTTACTACAACCCTGAGAGATAGATGCCATTATGATACTCATTTTACAGATAAGGAAACTGAGGCAGACAGGCAAAGTGACTTGCCCAGGCTCACACAGCTCGTAAGTGTCTCAGGCCATATCTGAACTCAGCGCTCTGTCCCTAGCACCACCTAGCAGCCTCTGGCAGCACCTGCATCTCAGATACCAGCCTACTCTTCCAGGAAGCTTGGAATGCTTTAATGATATATTTCCCTCTGCCCTTCCCGGGTTCCAGCATATCAAAGCCTCTCCTCTTCTGCCCACTGCCTGCTCCCACTCTACCACCCTGCCCTCATCCTGGCTGGCATTCAGCCTTGCAGTGCCACGAAAGGTCCTCAAGCTGAACCCCTCACAGCCCGCTCTTCTGATCTTTCCTCAGGCCTGTATAGTGTGACCCTCGGCTTCTCTTGGAGCCCCATGGCTCTTCCTGTTGCTGGTTTCTGTTCCCTCCTCCTCCTCTCTTCTGGTCAGTCCGTGCCCATCAGCCCTTTCAAGACTTCATCCAAGACACCCACAAATGAATTCCACAACCGTGAATAGGCCCAGGCTTTCTTCTCTAGTCATTTGGCATTTGGTCGGGGTCTGGACTAACATAGGGATGTGCATCCATCATACAACACAAAGCATGGAAGGGTTCGATCTAGTTATAGGAGCAGTGGGGGGAGGTTGAAGGGATTAAGGCAGGCTTCCTGGAAGAGGCAGCATTTGAAGTGAAGGCAGGGATGGGAAAGAAGGCAGGGATTTAACAAGGTCAGGACCTCGAAGGCACAGGAAACAAGGCTAGCAAGTCCACAGAGGTGGGGTAGCGCGCGAGGTGGGCAGCTGTCCCGTGTGGCCACAGCTGAGCCCGGCCCTCCCACCCCCCCCCCACCCCCGACCAGGGAGTGAGGACCTGCCCATCCAGGGCCACCCGAGGTCGGGCAATCCTGCAATGGAAGCCGGGTCCGCAGCCTTTGGTCCCACTCCCTTCACTGGGAGAGGCAACAAGAGGGCAAAGGGCAGAAGCCCCCCAGTGCCCGGGAGGAGTCTGGGGGCAGAAGACAGATCACTGCTGGAGGAATGGCGCTGAGGATGCGGGGGGGGGGGGGGGGCGGGAGAGGTGGGGAGGACTGGGAGGGGGGAGGGAGGAGAGAAGGGGAGGAAGGGGGGGGAGAAGGGGATGGAGTGGATTCCATCCCACAAGTCAGGTGACTCTTGGCCTCAGCTTGCCCATCTGTGAAACGGCGCTAACGATGGCAGGCGCCCGCCCCCATCTGACAGACGGAGCCCGACGCCACACAAATGGGGGGCCCCCCCAGTCCCACGCTCCGCCCTGGGGAGCCCCCCGCCCTGCCCGCTCCCACCTGCGGGGGGAGGGCTCCGGGCACACCGCCGCCTCGCTCCCGCTCGCACAGCAGGCACGTCCGGACCCCTTTACAACCGCAGCCCCGGGGTCGCGCCCCGCAGCCGCCCCGGCTCCAGCCGCCAGCCGTCGCCATGCCGGTGCCCAGAGCGCCGCCGGGCGGGCGGCCTCAGCGGAGCGTGTGCGCAGGCGCGGGATGCGGGGGCCGCTGGGAGAGGTAGTCCCGTGGGGCCAGGACACGTGGGATCCTACTCGGCCCGGCCCTCTTCCGGCCGGCGCCGCACGAACCGCTCCGGCCCGAGCCGCCCGAGAGAGGCCGAGGCCGCTGCTCCGAGTCCCCGCGTCGCCCCCGCCCCGGCTCCGGAGGAGCTCGTGGAGCCAGCCCCAGGCGGCGGCCGGCGTGGGCAGGCGGGGCCTCGAGGCAAGGGCGCAGGGTGCGCCCGCGGAGGCCGGCGGCCATGGGCCGGCTCAAAACCCCGCTGCTGCTGCAAAGGGGGCACCCCAAGTGCGACCGGCTCGGCAGGATCAAGAAGCTCGAGTAAGAGCGGGCGGGGACGCGCATATGCGTGTATTTGTGCGGGGGGAGGACACGCGCGTACGTGCGTTTGCGTGGCGCTTCTGTGTGCGCGTGCGTGCCCGAGTGCCTCTGCACGATGCCTTTGCTCGCCCGTGAGCGTGCGTCAGCGTGGCGCTTCTGTCGGCCTCCTCGGTGCCTGTGTGCGCGTGCGCGTCTGTCTGCCGGGTGTGTTGTGCGCGTGCGTGGTGCCGCGAGCGTTCGAACGCTGCTGTCCCGCAGCCGCTTCCGCCCCCACATCCCGCAAGTCCCCGAGCCGCTGTAGCGAGGCGGCTCCGCGCCCATCCCTCGCCCGCGCCGTATTCCCGCTCGCCTGCCCCGTGCCTCCCTCTTCGCTGCGGTGTCCGCACCCCCGGCCCGTCCTGTGCCCGGCGCAGGCCGCTGACCCGGGGGCTGAGGGTCGGGGATGGGGCCTGGGCCCGCGGGGGCCGGGCCGCCCTGCCTCCCCTCCCCTCCACCTGGCTGCTGCGGCCCCTGGTCTCATGCCGGCTGTCGGCTCTCGCAGCCCCTGCTGCCTTCGCTGCCCGGGTGCTCTGCCCCCTTGTTACGGGGAGCCCGAAGAGTGCCCTGGGTGACCCGGCCTTCCAGGCTCCCCTGCTGAGGAATGGGCAGAAGGGCCGACGCACATCCTTTCCCCTTCCGTGAATGAAGGGGTTAGGAGCTGATTCTGACCCGTGTCCCCCAGCCACTGTGTCCTCTCCCATCTCCCCCCCCCCCGCCCACACAGCGGTCAGGACCCCAAGGACGGGGCAGGGCATCCCGGGAAGGGAGCTGCCCCCCTTCCTGGTTGGGGAGAGAAGAAAGCGCCTTGGTTTTCCCCAGATCGGGGAGCCCAGCCCTCCAGAGCCTCCCCCCACCCACCGTTTCCCTGCCCCAGTTTGTCAGACCTCCAGCTTCAGACGAAAGACCTGGACCTCAAACTCCTCAACCGCATGAAGCAGCTGAAGGAGCTGGATCTGTCGGACAACCTGCTGGAGAGGGTGCCCGAGGGCCTGGACCTGCCCTGCCTGCAGATCCTCAAGTGCTCCAACAACCAGCTGGAGGACGTGACCCCCCTGCAGCAGTTTGCTGCCTTGGAGGAGGTGGATTTCGAGGACAACCTGTACCTGACGGTGAGCCGGAGGCCCCTCCTGGAGCTGCTCTCACTGCTTGGCATCAAATTTAGGAAGCGTCTGTGTGTGTGGGGGGGGGGGTGCTGGTGATTGTGGGAAGAGTGACGGATGGGGGGAAAGAGTACTGAAGCCAGGGGCAGTGCAGTAGAGTGTTCGTGTCCCACCTCTGACGCCTAACCACCTGTTGTTGTTCTGCACATGCAGAAATTCCCCTTTCCTCATCCAGTTGGACTGGATCTTTCTTAATCCAGTGCTTTTCCTGTGTTTCCAATTTAGCCTGTGTGTACACATATATAAAAACACACATATACATAACACACAAGCATACATCTAACATCGTGTGTTTCTGTATATTGCTTATGTATCATGTTTCTGTGTGTATCGCTTCCGTGTTGTGTTTGTATTTTATGTCTACATGGGTATGCGTACATGCACATACATTAAAATAGAAGCCTGCCTGTAATCTAAGATGTGTGTGGACGCGGTCTCCCCGGTTACACTTGAGAACAAAGACTGTCTTTTGCTTTTCTTTCTATCCCCGCTACTTGGCACAGTGCCTGGCACATAGTAGGTGCTTGATAAGTGCTTGCTGACTGACCAGATGGCCTTTGGGGCCCTTTCAGCTCTAGGGTTATAATGCTGTGTTACTCAGCCCGTGCTGTGAGGAATGCACAGGACAGTGAACCACGCAGAAGAACCAAACCATCACTGCCCTCAAGGAGCTTACAGTTTATAGGGGAGATGACATGTTTACCTAAAGGAATATTCAGAACAAATAAAAAGTAAACGCAGAGTAATTAGGAAGGAGGGCCCTAGGGGAAGGGGCAGTGCGGAGAGGTTTCTTGTGAATATTGAAGGAAGAGAGGGATTTGGTAGGAAGGGAGAACAGAGGGAAAGCTGATCCTTCAGAACCCTCTGGGTTCTGAAGCCAGGACTGCAGAAGAGGTAAGGTGAGCTGGGCAGTGGCTCTCTGTGCCAAGCCCCACAGGAGAGCCCTCAGGGAGTTTAGAGCAGGTGTCCAGTCGGGGACCAAGCCAGCCTGGGCCTCAGGAGAGCCGGCTCTGCCACTGACTCACTGGGGGGCCTCAGTTTGCCCCAGTGTAAAATGTATGGGGGCTAGGGAGGTGAGATGAGGAGGACGTAATCAGCTGATCTCTCAGGGGGATGTTTACCTCTGGCATTGGGACTTGGTACCTTGAGGTGTCGAATGGTGGCAGAGCTTGTCTAAGCTTGTCTGTATTCACCCCCAGGTCAATGACAGTTACAAGATCTCCTCCCTCCTCCCCAACATCCGAAAAATCAATGGGAAGGAAACAGCCTCGCTGATGAATCACGTGAAGATCCTGAACCGGGAACTGACCACCCGAGTAAGGATGGCAAGTGGTGGCAGTAGAGAACCTTTCTGGGGCCTGCATAGGATTCTAGGCTGGTGTTCTAAGCTCAAGAAGTTCCCCTGAGGTCAGCAAACGATCCCCCACTCCCACGCCCATAATAATTTTTGACAGAAACACTGAAAGTCTTGCCAGTGCTGTCCTCACAGGTCAGACACTGGCCCCCAGTGCCTGAGCTGACCTTGACTGTGTTTTTACAGATTTATCATTACAGATTTATCATAGGAGTTCTTAGCCTGGGGTCCATGGAACCCCTAAGGGTCTATAAATGGATAGATTTCCAGGGGTCCTTGGATATAGAAGAGAAAAAATAGATAGATAGATAGATAGATAGATAGATAGATAGATAGATAGATAGATAGATAGATAGATAGATCTCCTTATTTTCACACATCTTCAGCTGAAATGTAGCATTTCCTTTAATTTTTAAAACATTGTGAGAGGGGGGTCCAGCAGAGGCTTCACCAGACTGCCTGCCAAGGGGTCTGCCCTGGCTGCTGTCCCTGATCCTTACAATGACTGGAGAATGAGATGCCCTGGGGGGAGTGGATCTTCTAGGAAATTTGGTCTGTTGTAATTGTTCTTAATAGTGTGTCACTGTCTCCCTGCCTGAGGAAACACAGTATCTACTTCAGTATTTTGATGTAGTTCTAGGCCCCCAACACCAGCCATCTTCAGGTCAAACCCAAGGTGTCTTCAATGGAATTCATTGTTTTTCTCACTAAGTGCACTCCTGCTTCCTTCTTTTTGTTGAGGGCTCGACCATATTTCTAATCATCCAAGTTTGAAACCCTGGACTCCTTAACTCTTTGTCATCTTCTCACCAAACTGGTATATTCCTTATTCTCTGTGGACACCATTTCATCTCCCACATCACCATGTCTTTGATCAGGCCATGTCCTCTTTGCTTGTCTCCATGTGAAATCAATTCTTTGAGGCCAAGTGTAAGATTTTACATTGATTCCTATTTAATTTAATCTTACTAGATTCTCCTAATATTCTGGCTTTTCAAGCTCTTTGGGGATGTTGACTTTGTCTTCCATTGTGTTAGCTCTCCCCTCTAATTTTGTGTCAACTTGAAACTGGATAAAGATGTTGTCTAGATCTTTATCTGTGTCATTGATAAAAATGTTGAACAGCCCTGGGGCAATCAGAGGTCACTGGGGCATTCCATCAAGTGGACATAGAACTGTCTGTGTTGAGTCCAGCCATTCAGTGAGTTCTGAATCTATCTTAAAGGCACTGTAATGGAGCTTATGGCTCCATCTTTTTTGTGAGAATAGCATGAAACACTTTACCAAGGTGTTAGCATTTGTTAAACCACATTTACACCATCCCTTTGGTCTACCAGTTTAGTTAATCCTGTTAAAAAAAGAAACAAGAGTGGGCCAGCCGCCCTGTTTTTAGTGAGGCCCAAGTGAGTTCTTAGTGACTGCCATCCCCATTTCCATTTCTGCTCATTGGCTGTCTCTTTGATGATGGCTTTGGTAGCCCAGGCATGTGGTTTGCAGATTCCATTCTCTTCCCTTTTCAGAAGACTGGGGTGATGGTTATCCGCCATTTCTCTACTCTGTGAGTATGAGTGACAGAAAAACGTTTGCTGTAGAAATGTTGATGTACCTTTTCCATCTCTTATCCATTTCCTGCCCTTTCTTTCCCCTTCTTGCTTTGATGGATGTGATGTAATGGATCTTTTCCCTCCAGATACTTGTTGCTGTTTCGTGAGATTGATGCTGCATACAGGGAAATTTTACAAATAAGTTCCTGTTTTAAACCAGTGGTGTCAAACTCAAATAAAAGTGGATGTCTGGGCTTATTGACTTAGAAAATGACACATTAATATTATGTATGTTATATTTTTACTTATGCTGTTAAATGTTTCCCAGTTACATTTTAATCTGGGTCTGACAGAGGGCCCCCAAGTTTGGCACCTCCATTCTAAACCATTGTTGCCCTTAGCTGCCGTGTTTTTCTTCGCAAGGAGACCAAATGTTTTTTGCCTGGTGGTTTCTAGGCTTTTTTGACTTCCTTGTTGGAATGATTTGATTTATAAGGTTTACACTTCCTTAGTAAATGGTGGTGCCCAGTGCCAATGCCTGCTTCTTTACCCGTTTCCCATTTTCATTGTCAGGAAGTTGTTAAATAGGTTGGGCTGTAGTTATTTCATTTGCAGGCCATATTTTCTCACTTTTCTTCATCTAATTTGGTGCT